CAAAAAAAAAAAAAAAAAAAAAAAAAAAAAAAAAACCCAGCTAATTGAACCCCACCAACGACAACAAAAAACATATTCCACTCTAGAGCTACCCAATCAAATTGAGGATGTGGTCCAGAACTTGTATATTTTGAAAATGTTCCTCAGTAATTTAGTTGCACACGCTGGTCAAGAACCACTAATTCTAAAGAGAGTCTGCTAAACACTTTCACTTAAAAACAGAATTCTATAGGCTTGGCCTCCAAAACAAGGCTCCTTGCTTTTCATTAGTTCAGGTACTGAAAATAAAAGTGCCATTAAAAAAAAAAAAAAACACCTCAGTTTATAGTCATTTTCAGCCTATGGGGCTATAGTGAGGTAGTACTTAAAAACCTATGTATAGAGATACGAGAGACATTTAAAAAAACCCACATAAATTAATGACTATCTGTAGAAAAAATCCATGAAAGGTGTCTAAAAGCACGTGACTCAACAGTATTGGGAATGCCTCAATCAAGGGGACTTTGGCTTAATTTCAAAGTTAAAGTCTAAGCCTAGCATGTGCTAGACCTCAGGAGGTTACCACCATAAACAAGATAGACATGGGTCTCTGTACTCAATGCAATATGTCTGGAGAAGAAATATGTATCACAAAACCAATAGTTATAAACTTATATATATTAAATTTGTCTCTGTTACTACAACTCTTGAAAACAGCTGAGTCCATTTTCACCAGATTTAGAGGGAGTCTTTCAGACATTATGACAAACTATAGGCTATTACAGAATTCATCTTAAAAAGAAAGGAAGCCATCTTGTAAGCCACCTACAAGATTAATAAGAGGCCCTGCATAACAGCAGATTCAAAAGATATAGTCAATATTTCACCCCACCACCCTGAAGTGTGGACATATTCGTCCCTCCTTCCCCTCCTCTCAGTGATTTACAATATACAAGTTTTAGCCATATACATAAAGTTTACTCTAACTTTGCAGATGGGAAATCAGAGACTCAAGAGTATTAAGTAAAGAACTAAACCTAATTATTCTAGTGGTATATGAAATTAAGATTATGTGGTTCACCCACAACAAAGAGTTTTTAATCAAACTGTTTATTTGCATAAACACTCAGAAACTAGTAAACTAACTTGGATTTCTGAGACTACCCTTAACCACCAAAAAAAAAAAGCACTACAGAAATTCTGCCAATTTGAACAGATGACAAAAATGTGTGAAATTATAAAAAAAACTTTCAGTGATTTAGAAACTTTACTTATTTTTAGAAAAAGCTGATTTTATTCTCCAATGAAAAATAAATATCTATTATTTGCATCATTTAATATAGTACTATTCTTTTTTGGTGGGGGGGGGTGGTTTTTTGCGTTATGCGGGCCTCTCACTGTTGTGGCCTCTCCCATTGCAGAGCACAGGCTCCGGACGCGCAGGCTCAGCAGCCACGGCTCATGGGCCCAGCCGCTCCGCGGCATGTGGGATCCTCCCGGACCGGGGCACGAACCCGTGTCCCCTGCATCGGCAGGCGGACTCTCAACCACTGCGCCACCAGGGAAGCCCCAGTACTATTCTTTTTGAACTCAATTTTTTAAACTATCAACTGTATCAATCTGTAGGTACTACTGTTATGTTCGGCCTCATAAATGCGCACACCATTAAGACAAAAATATTATTTGAGTTCTAAAACAAACAGCTGGGTTGCTAGTTGGAAAAATAAGGGAAAATATGTTGTATATAATAATACCACTACACAGTAGAGTCTTAAAGTGCTTTTAAAGCACTTTTGATTTAAACTTCATTGCCCTATGGAATGGGTATTATCCTGATTTGATAGATGAGAAAACTGAAGTGCAGAGAGGGTAAATGTTGCACAGTTAGGAAATAACAGGGTTCAGGGTCAAATTCAGGTCTTCTGATATCTCGGCCTCAGTACCATCATCTGTCTGCAGCTGCCTTCATGAAACAACTCCAGTCACTATCAGTATCTCAAAAATTGTCGCAGAAAACAAAAGACAATTATATTTTACATATCATCTAGGGCTGGTCTTAACTATCCCTCAATTCCATGCCTTATTCAAGCCATTCCCCCGTCTGAAATGCCACTCCCTTTTCTCTCCTCCTAACTAAACTGTACTCACATTTTATAACTCAGATGAGAAATTTTTACAGTGTTCACTTGTTTTTCTGCCCTGATTACCTTCAATGTTTTAATAAAGTTTTAAATGTAGAACTTGAATATTGTGATTTCTTTAATACCACACACAGCCAAGATGAAGTGAGGAACATAGACACTGTGAATAAATACCAAATGAGTATTTCTTAAAATGACACAATGTCACTGAAGTGATGATACTATTTCATAAGCACAAGAAAAAATCTTGTTCTTTCACTGTCATGCCTCCTAGGCATATACATGCTCTACTTTTTAAAACGTCCAATTAGTTCACACCAAGTTTACAAAGACAAATATGAGGTCTACTGGATCAAATGCAAAATAAATTATGTATTAAAAACCTAGAGTAGTTTACATCATTTTAGAGCAGGAACAGAAGATGAGAGTCAGTAAATGTACTTAATGATATAATTTGAAATATATACAACTCCTGATAATCCCCAACTTTGGATATTCTTTAAACTGATTTACTATCACAAGGATTTGTCGAAGTACAACACATCGATAACATGAAGAAAAGCAGTGGGGGAAAAAGATAACTGAGGTTGGCCTCCATGATGTTATGGCTGTTGGCTTAGTGGGGATACCTTTCCCCTCTAAATAAAAGTATAGATCTGTAACTGCAGATGCTAGAAGAGCTTAGTGAAACAAAAAAGGAGAGTAAAATACAAGTAGACCCCATATTATGTATTTTCAACCAAGTATCTAATATCACATAGGAGGCAATTCTCTTAACACCAATGTCACAAGAAATTCCAATCACCTGCTAATTAAAATATGAGAAATGGCTCTCTTTCCCCCTCTTTCCCAGTCTAGCACAACTCCACAAGTAAGAAGACTCTCTGCCAATTGCTGCTACACACTTTCATCCCCCTGAAGAAACTGGTTGAAAAATTAGTTTTTATCGCTGGCAAAGGAGCCCCACCTCCTGACCTTTTTATGTACTTAAATTGAAGACTAGCACCTGAGACTGGTATGAAGGACAAACACCTGAACCTACTTACCTAACCTTCTCTAGCCCACAGTGTTTATACCTCTTTAAAGTCAAGATCTCTTTGATTCTAACTTTTTTGTACCTCTTGAGGAATATGGAATTAAGAAATAGGAATAGCCCACAACAAAGGTATTTCTACGACGTGTCAAAGCTTTATGGACCAAAGATGTAGTAGAAGTGCTGATAACTTCGTACTGATGCATCATAAAATACATCTAATTTGGCAGCACGCTATTTTTTAATTCTTCGTAAAAATTATGGAAGTTGACCATTCCAGGTGAAGCACCTAATAAACAATTACAATATTGTTTGACATGAAAATGTGTTGCAGATTTTAAATGCTCAACTTATAAACACAGGATAAAAACAGTTAGAAAACTCAAATCCATACAAAATAGTAGCCCATGTTCGAAAAGCTGTTATGTATCAGTCAGGGTCCTGGCAGAAAAACAAAGCAGTTTCAAAGAGATAACTGAAGGGCTCATTTACAAAGGTGTGGGTAGGGTTAAAGGAACTAACAGGGATGGCAAAGTCCTCAGGAAGCCACTGCCAGCCTTCTGAAAGAAGGAGCAGGGAGAGAGCTGTCAAATGGCAACTGGAAGAATAAATACCCAGCTTCTCTCTTCTCTGGATCTCCAATATCCGCCAATGCCTCACACTGGCTAAATCCAACAAGAAACCAAAAAAGGACCCCAAGTGAGGCAGTTCTTAGACTAGGTCAACCTCCTCTGGGGCACAGAGAAAGTCAAGGAAGGATGAGGAGTGGATCTGGAGGGGCAAATAAAAAACACCCAGTCTGGATGTATAAAGAAGAGAATTTGGGAGTCAAGATCTGGTCAGCCACTATTAGTTATAAAATCTCAGATAATGTCCATTCCTGAGTCTGTGATCTCCACTACAAAATATGGATGATACCACTTACTTCAAATAGATGTTATGAGAAGAAAGTGAAATTGGCACGTGCTAAAACCAGGCACTATGCTAAATGTTAGCTGAAGTGAAATGTAAGACAAGCTTTGTATCTCTAGTACCTAATACAACTTGTAACTTATTGTAGGTGCCTAATAAACACTGGATAAATAAATTATGATGCAGAACACACATAAGTGGAAGTGAGGAACTGAGGATTCTGTTCATATCTTTGCTTTTGGCTTGTTATTGCTGTAAGATTCTCTGTAAGTGATACAATCTTACTACATCCAGCTTTTTAAACTGTGAAAAGAATCTTTACCCCACAAGTGCTACAGCAGCCATCCCCAAGCTTTTTGGCACCAGGGACTGGTTTCATGGAAGATAATTTTTCCATGGACGGGGGTGGGGAAACGGTTTCGGGATGATTCAAGTGCATTACATTTATTGTGCACTTTACTTCTATTATTATTACACTGTAATATATGATGAAATAATTATACAACTCACCATGATGCAGAATCAGTGGGAGCCCTAAGCTTGTTTTCACTTGCCACTCACTGATAGGGTTTTGATATGAGTCTGCAAGCAATTGATTACGGTCTCTGTGCAGTCAAACCCCTCTGCTAACGATAATCTGTATTTGCAGCCGCTCCCCAGCATCATATTCTCAGCTCCACCTCAGGTCATCAGGCACTAGATTCTCATAAGGAGCGCACAACCTAGATCCCTCGAATGCACAGTTCAAAGTAGGGTGTGCGCTCCTATGAGAATCTAATGCTGCCACTGACCTGACAGGTGGTGGAGCTCAGGCGGTAATGCAAGCAATGGGGAGCGGCTGTAAATACAGATGAAGGTTCGCTTGCTCACCTGCCACTCACCTCCTGTTGTGCTGCCCGGTTCCTGCTGTGCTGCCACTGGCAGTGGTCCGTGGGTTAGGGGTGCTAGGGACCCTTGTGCTACAAGATAAATAAGACATGTTGAATATCCTGACATTACACAACTTCAAGAATTACAGATTTAAAATATTCAACCAATAAACATCTCCTAACTACAAATGTTTTAGTAGCATCTACTAACCACCCACATGCCTATGTGATTTAAGACTCATGAAAGGGTATTTTGGAGATAGAAGGCTAGGCAAAATAAAGTTTGTAGACAATAAAGAAATTAATTTACCAAGAGAAAACCCCATTATACTCTTGAATATCTGTTTCTGCCTCTGTTATTCAGCTAAAATTAGGTTTCTTCTGTCACTTCTCGCAAAGGTAAGACAGAGAAAATCCAGTAATTTTGTATTGATAAATGCTAAGTATAAGAGCAAAGAGTACCAACGGTTTCTGATTTCAATTTCTTTTACTGATGTCTGACACCCAGATGTTCAGCACCTCTAAAACATGAATGTAATAAAAGTAGAATGCAAAAACACTTAATAGCACTGTTGAAGAGAACAGAAAGAGGACTAAGTATAAAGTTGTTTCTGTTTGTTTGAAGTGAGGAGGGAATAGGTACAGAGATTCCCAGCACAGTTTCTATTGATCATTAATTCTGGTCACTAGTGAAGCCTGAGCTATCTCATACTCAAGTGAGAATCAAGAACATAAAGAAACGAGACTTTCTATTTTAGATGCTACTAAAATACTATTTTATATTACAAAAGCATAACAGGCCATTAAACTTTTTCAGCCATATATACTTATGTTGAGAGGTTGAGAGAAGATGAGGAATAAAGAAAAAATTTTAATGACTATATATTTGGTATTATATGTGGTTCTCAAACGTTTCCAAGTCACGTTTCATTTTCTGTGAACTAACCACATGTTCATATCCTGCTGTTGGTATAAGGCCTTTTATGTAAAGGAACTTTGTTATTATGTGTCAAATAAATTTTTTTTAAAACTGTATGGTAATTTTCCAATGTAGGAATTTAAAATTTTGTGTGTGTGTGTTCAAATTAACATATCTTTCTCTTTATGACTTTTGGATTCTATATCTGTCTTGGAACATCTTGCTCACTCCAAGATTATATTTTTAAAATTTGCTCATGTTTCTTTCTGGTACTGCTATGATTTGTTTATTGTGTACATCTTTCATCCATTTCAATTTATTTTCATGTTAGGACTAAGTAGAGATCAAAATTTGAGTTTTTCTAAATGGCTAGCTAGTTATCTCAACACCACTTATTGAATAATGATCTCCTTTCTACATACCTCTGACCTAATTTGGTAGGCTACTTCTTGGTGTATGAATTTCTTGCTACCTAGGTGGTATGGACTTCCAAAATATGTTCTTGAAATAAACTACCCAACAGTTTCATTCCAATTTATGCTCCCACCAACTGGAAAGGTGCTTACTTCCCTGAATTCTCATCAACACCCTATATCATTTCAATAGTTTTTTCTAAGTGGCAAAAAAAAGTAAGTACTTTCATTTCCATTTCTTTGATTACTAAACAAATTGAACGTTTGTTCACGCTTACAGCCCTCTTTATTTTATCAATGATTTATCTGTTCATATTTTTTACCCATTTTAACACTGGAACATTAATGGTCCTCTTTGATTTTAAATCTTTCATATTTACTTCCTCTTAATATTTGCCCTTTAATTTTGTGATTTTTGAAGAAGTTTAAGATGTTTATTTAGTCACATCTACCAAGTTCTTCTTTCATTGCTTTATATGCTTACAAAGTATTTTGAGGATAAAATCTATTTATAGACATATTTACCATTTCTGGTACTGTTCATTCCTTCTTGTGGATCCAAGTTTCATCTGATGTCATTTCCCTCCAGCCTGAACAACTTCCTTAAGCATTTCTTGGTGTTGCAGGTTTCATAGCAATGAATTCTCTCAAGTTTTGTTTATTTGAAAAATGTCCTTATTTCACCTTCATTTTCATGGATATTTTGTTCTGAATATAGAATTCCAGGTTGATAGCTTTATCCTTTCAGAACTTTAAATAGGTCATTCCATTGTCTTCTGGTCTCCAATCATTTCTGATTAAGTCATCCTTCATTGATATTGTAATTCCTCTGTAGTAATCTGGGTTTTTTTCCCCCTTTGGCTGCATTAACATTTTCTTTCCATCTTCGATGTGCAGCAGTTTGATTAAGATATGCCTAGATGTGGTTTTCCTTTTATTTATCCTAGCTGGGGTTCAATGAACATATTTTTTGCCCGACTGTCTGCTATGTCTGTCTCTTATCTCTTTCTGCTATTCATGTTAGTTTTTTTTTTTTTTTTTTTTTTTTTGCAGTACACGGACCTCTCACTGCTGTGGCCTCTCCCGCCACGGAGCACAGGCTCCGGATACGCAGGCTCAGCAGCCATGGCTCACGGGCCCAGCCGCTCTGCGGCATGTGGGATCCTCCCGGACCGGGGCACGAACCTGTGTCCCCTGCATCGGCAGGCGGACTCCCAACCACTGGGCCACCAGGGAAGTCCCACATGTTAGTTTGATACTGTCCCACTGGCCATCAAGGCTCTGTTCATTTTTTGTAATCTTTTTTATCCATTCTTTGGATTGGCAAATTTTGTTGATCTAGCTTCAAGTTCATCAACTTTTTCCTCTTCCTTCTCCAATCTGCTGTTAAATCCATTCAGTAAAATATTTATTTCAGATATTGTACTTTTCAGTTCTAGACTGTTTATTCTTCTTTATAGTTTCTATTTCTCTGTTGAAATTGCCCATCTATTCAGTCATCATGATCATGCATCTCCCTTTAGGTCACTGAATATATTACAGTTACTTTAAAGTCTGCTAATTCTGCTAATTTTAGGATCAGCTACCATTTTGGGGTGGATAGTCTTGACATTAAATCACATTATCCTGATTCTTCACATGTCTAGTAGTTGTCTATTATAAACTGGATTTTGTGGATGTTATGCAGTAGAGACTTTTACAGCTTCTTATCTGCTCCTAAGAGTGAGGATTTTTATTATACCTGGCAGTTAAATCACTGGCTAATAAAGTCAAACTTGTGGAGGCTGGTTTTGTGTTTTAGAATGGGTCTCTGGGCACAAATGTTTAAAACCCCTTAATTTGGTGGGAATCAAACACCAAATTGTCTCCCCTGCAGAGAGTAGCAGGTGAAATCTCTATAGTCAGCTTTTTCAGCCTAACTGCTATTATTTTCCATTGAGCTCCTTGGAATCTTTCTGCAGAGTTCAGGGGTCACCTAGGTATTTCAGGGGAGTTTTTTCATAGATTTTAGGGCTATCCTACTACAACTCCCTCCTTTCTGGGATTTATCCACTCAATTTCCAGCCATTCCAGCAGTCCCAAATTCCGTCCCTTGACACCGTAGGCCGGTAAGACTTTAGTTTTCTGCTTGATTTTCAGCTGCCCTGTGCTGCATGAACTTTTCCGCAAGAGGAAAGCTGTATACACTTTGGGGGAAAAACATTTGGCGGTTTTCCAAAGGAGACCTTTACCAAAGGATCTGAGATACAGTATTCTTGAATCTGTATACGATGCTGTCATAGGAAATTTTAGCTTAAGCATGCATTAATTCATTATTCTTTATAATCATTAATTCATTTACTCTTTCAACAAATATGTTCAGTGCCTATCATGTGCCAAATACTGTTCTAGGTGGTAGACATATAATAGTGAACAAGACAGACAAGGCCCTTGTTCGGTGGAACTTTCACTCTAGTGCATTCTAACCAAGCACTGAATAAAGACATTTCAGACTATGTCTTCCCCAAACAGTAATATTAGTGACTTGGCAAGGATATAAATTATAATAAAGTGATTCCCTTTTTTCATAAGCATAATTTTGAAAGAAAAAAGACCTGATTTTATATTTGAGCATATATGATAGTCCCATAATCTGAACAAATATTTATCAATATCCCATTTAAAGCTTTTTTTCTAAATGACTATAAATATGTGCTTCTGACAGCACTCTATTTTTCACGGTGACAATGGTTTTCTAGTATAATAAATAGCAGATAATTTAAGTTGTACAAAGAAGAATCACTAGTTATCTGACCAAATGATCTAGTATAGAGAAATTAGTTTAGCTCACTGTGCGTAACTTCAGAAACAAATATGGTAAATAAACAGTGGGGGATATCCTTGAAACTTAATTCACTTTTTTGGCCTTGCTCTTCCTCTAGTGTTAAATAAAGGTTCCAAAGGCACTGAAAAAAGGAAATATTTCTCTTCCATAGCATTTCCTATATACAGAGTTGCAAACAACATAACAAATTTAAATATGCCTAGGTACAATTTGGTAGTAGTTGATTACCAAAAAACAGAATTAACTATCATAAGCCATCCTTTGATCGACCACAACTAGAAGTGATGTACTAGAAATGATGTATCTGCACACAAGCTAATTTTGGCCCCAAATAAACAGACCTTTGTACATCTGAACAAGAAGTTCATTAAGAGAAATTTGAGGCATTAAATTACTTGGATTTTCACATACAGCTTTCTCTGAACAGTGATAAATCACTAAAGTTCATTATAATGAAGTTTGATATTGCTCAAAAAGGTTATTTAAATGTTTAAAGTTATTTTATGTCATTCATCTTGTCAATGTCAAATGTGGAAATGTCATATTTTCCTCTAATAAATCTATTCCCCAATATAGCTGGAAATTCAGCTACAGCAGCAGTGCAGGCTCTGGGCATAATTCTTGCTGTCCAAATAATATTAAGGAAACAGACTCTCCTTATAAATCTTATAAAAACTGACTCATTAAACATCTCTTTATACAGTCTGTTAAAGTAAAAATATAATAGGCACGGTAATAAATTTTTGGAGGATAAAAATGCTTAAAAATAGCAGCTAATGCATGGATAGGCTTCAGAGAAATCCATGAAATTTCTAAAACTGTGTACTAAATTGTGAATATAGGTATATTCTAGAGATAGAATCCATAGCTTTCAAGAGATTCTCCAAGGAGTCTGAAGTATAACAAACGGTTAACTGCTACTGAAGAGATGGCA